AGACATGGAATTATGATGAAGTTACTCGATTGTGGCATCCGTGGTCACATGGGAAAGTTTTTACAAAACTTTCTGACTGACAGATTCTTTCGGGTGCGTGTTGGTTCTTATCAATCCGACAGGTATCCACAGGACAATGGTGTGCCTCAGGGCAGCGTATTAAGTGTCATTCTTTTCGCAGTGATGATTAACGACTTAGGGGACACGCTTCCACATGGGATCAGCCGTTCTCTGTTTGTAGACGACTTTGCTATTTGGTGTAGCTCATCGACCACTCGCACGATGGAGCGACAGCTGCAGCTGGCTGTCACACGTCTGGAGAAGTGGAGTGTGCTCAACGGTTTCCGGTTTTCTACGTCGAAGACAACTGCAGTTCATTTCTGTCGTCGTCGCCGTCACTGTCCTGATATGGAAATCAGGCTGTATGGGCAACGCGTCGCCAGTGAGAATACCGCGAAATTTCTCGGTATACGCTTTGACCGACGCCTAACATACCGTGAGCACATCAGAGATCTCCGCGACAAATGTTTAAAATCTCTTAACATCCTAAGGCGCGTGGGACGTACGTCATACGGTGCTGATAGGAGGACACTCTTACTCCTATACCGCTCCCTGATTCGTTCAAAACTTGACTACGGCTGTTTTATCTACGACAGCTCATCAGACCTGATCAAACGTACTCTGAACACGGTGCATCACGCCGCACTCCGTATCGCCACAGGGGCTTTTCGGACATCGCCCATAGACAGTCTTCTGGTGGAGGCTCACGAGCCCCCACTAGCATTGCGAAGGCAGGTGCTGGGACTGCGCTACACGTGCAAGCTGGCGCAGTTCCCAGATCATCCCACCTACAAAGCAGTGTTTTCGCGTAGCTTACGAAGGCTTTTCCTACGTCAACGGTCACCTAAAACTTCTCCCTTCTGTGTACGAATGAGAGAGCTTTTAGATGCGAGCGGCCTGAACCTACGGCGTGTCATCAGACCTAAACCCATGGAGACTGCTCCTTGGGAGCTAGCATCGCCAAGAGTGGATGTCTCTCTATCAAATATGCAAAAGCAACATGTCCTCATGGCGGAACTCAAAGGCGCAGCTTTAGAGCACATGGCCTCCTTTGACGGGTACAAGATGACTTATACAGATGGTTCGAAGACGGATGCAGGTGTAGGGTGCGCTTTTGTGTGCGGATCGACCACACGGTCATTCACACTGCCTTCACACGCGTCGGTCTACGCTTCCGAGCTTATAGCCATTAGCAAAGCTCTCTGTTTTATTGAAGTGGACGATAGCAATCTGCATTTAATTCTTTCCGACTCCTTGAGCAGCCTGCTGGCTGTTAGCGGCTTCTCCCCGTCGAATCCACTTGTTCAGGACATTCAATATCGTCTTAGCTCACTGGATCGAGCAGGAAAAACGGTCGTTCTATGCTGGATCCCAAGTCACGTGGGGATATGCGGAAATGATCTTGCTGACGCGGCAGCAAAGCGCGCTACGACAGGGACTAGAATTCCTATAACACCACTACCTGCTCAAGACATGTACCCCGCAGTGTCGCTGTTTATGCAGAAGTGATGGCAGTTCTACTGGAACTCGCTGAGCGCCAACAAGCTGCAGTCGGTGAAACCCCGCATTGGATTATGGCAGTCGTGCTTTCGGGACAATAGGGTGGAAGAAGTTGCCCTTTGCCGGTTACGCATAGGTCACACATATGCTACGCACCGTCACCTGCTATTGGCTGGTGACAGACCATGCTGCGGTCGATGCTCTGATCCACTGACCGTGCATCACGTACTGGTCGCTTGCCGCCACCTTACGGCAACGAGAGCGCAGTTTTTCGGACGCCACGTCCAGAGTCGCACGCTATGCGACTTTTTAGGGGATTCTTCGAACATCGTCGGGTTTGGTAAAGTGCTCCAGTTCCTTCGCGCTATAGATTTTCCTGTAATCTTCTCATCATGATGCTAGGGCCGATCATCATGGCTCTATAGGGTGACCTGATTGATGCACTTCTCTGATTGACGGCTCTGCATGAATCGATAGTTATGGGCGCTGCATGACCTTTAGCAGTCGATGCGCCCTAAATCCCCAAATCATCATCATCGTATGGAGCACTACGAACTCCCGCGCCCCGCATTTCCTGGTTAAAATGGAGCGTTGAGACGCGCCGTGGCTGACCTGCGCTGCGCGCTCCTTAATCACCAGGACTTGATTAATCCTGGAATGCGGGTAAGGAGGGCGTGATGAGGGAATACGGGTGAAGAGGAGGGAGCTGGCGGGACAAGGAACAATGGCTTGCGTACCAGCACGGTCACAAGGCCCTAAAATGAACAGCTTCTGCTGTCCACCCATTACTGAGACTCAGGGGGCGCTACTCCTCTGCAGCGGCCGATGTCGGTGCCCCCACTTAGTTACCAGGAGGCTGTTGTTGGCCTCCCGGCCGCCACGGCCGCAGTCCTGCCTGAGCTTCATGGCCGCCCTGGCTACACTCCTGCCCGAGCCTCACGACCGCCCTGGCTGCACTCTTGCCCGAGCCTCACGGCCGCCCTGGCTACACTCCTGCCCGGGCATTACGGCCACCCCTGGCTGCAGTTCTGCCCGCACGTTGCGGCCACCCCCGGCTGCAGCCCTGCCCGAGTGTTACGGCCACTCCTGGCTGCGGTCCTGCCCGAGCGTTACGGCCGCCCTGGCTGCCCTGATGCCCGAGCCTCAAAGCCGCCCTGGCTGCACTTCTGCCCGAGCCTCACGGCTACCCTGGCTGCACTCCTGCCCGAGCCTCACGGCCACCCTGGCTGCACTCCTGCCCGAGCCTCACGGCCACCCCTGGCTGCACTCCTGCTCGAGCGCCCACACATATTCCGAGCTCGGATCCATGTGTGGCGGTAAAGCTCCGTAGCGGTGACAATCCACAGCGTGTTAAGGTTTACACTACCATTCTCCTACTTCGTCAATCCCCTAGCTCTGAAATGGTCGATGAAGGACGAAAGAGTTCTGACCTAACTAATCCAAGGCATGGAAGATCATGATGGACCAAGAAGCTGAGATCATGAAGGGAGATCGGTCCTGAAAATTTACACCGTTATGGGCGATGGGCTCATAGTGCACATTTTCACGCTCCATGTTTATAGACGTGTAGGTCATGGAATAAAGTGAAGAAGGTGATTGAACGATCTTCTGCGAGAACGCCAACGCTCTGCTTCATCCATAGAGAGCTCGCCCAACACACCCTAACGTGACTCATTCTAAACGCGGGGCATCTGTCGCATTTGGGTTCAGTCGATGCAGTCCAGCGCACCTTACAATATGGGGGCCAAGCAGGAAACATTGAAAAGCCCAGAAGTATGGTTCAAAGTTCGGCCATTCAGAAATGTTGTAAAAGCTCGCACGTATATTTAGTTGAGCTTGTTTGACCGAGCTAGGCTCCACACATGCTCCAAAACAAGATTGACATATTTTAAGAACCAATATAACCAATACACCGGAACCTCGAAGCCTAAACAATGTAAATCATGAAAAGTTTTCATTAGACACAGTGATAATCGTTTTTCTCACGTCAACATTATGTTACTGTGTGTTATTTCTTGTCTGAGCAGCACCGTATTTGTCGGTGCTCTTCAACGATTTTGGTAGCCAGTTCACACCCACTGGCCCGACTTTCTTCCCCGGCTTGAAGTTTGCGTTGCTCATCTGCACCGCTATAACACTGGTGAATGGGACAGCCTTATTTACGCCTGGGGCACATTCACACCTCTCAAAAAGCGGTTAGAATATGGCGAAATTCATACATTCAGGAGTGCTCTCAAATAAAAGATTCCATTCTGCAAAAAACTTTTAAATTTATGGTAAGCAGGCATTTGGCTCACGCCATCTTGATACGGGCTCGCGCTCGGGGCTTTGTCCGGTGTCAAATTGGCTACATCGGGATTTGTTTCCAAATCCGGCCGCGTAGTCCAGGATGTGAGTTGTGTCCGGGAGTGTGAGCCGGTGACTGTATTAGTTACGTGCGACGCATCCGAGAGAGCAGGAGCATGCTGGGGGTGGGCCGGAGCGCAGAGAGATGGGGAACAGGTACACTAGCTTTTAGAAATTCGATATGAGCTTCTATGGAAGCTGAATGGAGTGCTTTCCTATGAGTTGATTTACAGTAATCAAAAGTTAATCCCTGAGACCTTCCAAGTTCTCAGAAGTGAAAACGCGAAGGCAATTTTCTACATTTACCATATTTCTACACGCAGTAACCATTTCTGGCTCCAAACGCTTCGCCCAGGATCAACGGTATGTGATTGCCGAGATTCAACTTAACCGGAACGGCTGCTTGGAGCGTCTTAACACGCTTAAAACTGTGCGCATCACTTTGTTATTACTCAACGCATTTCGAAACGCACAAAACATGTATTGTAGCATGCGAAAAAATAATTGCCGCTGCTTCGGCACCGGGAGTTTCCGCTCAGTGCCCTGAGGTTATGGCATGAATACTGCACCGCAGTACTGCTTGGTACAAAATGCTGGAACGATTTTTCACTGGTGTCAAGTCAAATCCCAAATATCGTGGTAAGATTCTGGCGTTGATTGCAACAGGCTCAGAAAAGAAAGATACGATATGAAAGACGGGGAAACAACAGATAAGACATTAGTATTAGGCTCATTCCTTGGATAAAAACCAGAAGAATGGAGACACAGTTGGGTTGATATTTCGGCAACATGCCTTTATCGAAACAAGAGCAGAAGTGACCTCTGACAAAGGACTTCTTCTATTGTTTCGATAAAGGCATGTTGCCGAAATATCAACCCAACTGTGTCTCCATTTTCCTGGTTTTTATCCGAGGAATGATGCTAACGCTAATGTCTTATCTATGTGAATAATGTTCCCCAATAATGCACTGAACACCTTACGAAAAACAAACAGCTTTTACGAGCGCAACCTGTTTTCCCCACTACCGTTTCCCACATCAAGGTCAACTTCTCACGGCACGCAGCCTGTGGGTGGCCTTCCAGAGCGAGCTTACCTCCGGGTACGGCCCGATCTCGTTGGTGACCTCCCAGAGGGCGGCTCGACAGACCGGCACGGCCGTCCAGCAGACGACGGCCAGCAGCAGCAGGGCGGCGGTCGCCATGGGTGCGAGGGCGCGCGTCGGCGGAGACGCTCGACGGCCGGACGGGAGCGGACTGGACGGCGGCGTCGCCGACGACCGCTTTATAACGCCGTCGGGGTGGCGGCTGGCCTACACCGCTGCCGCCCCCGGCCCGGCGTGGCCAGCGCGCCGCCCCGTCACTACGGTCGGGCTGAGCCGTCACCGTAACCGCGTAACCGAGCGCGTAACGTAACGTAGCCGCGTAACCGAGCAGGAAGAGGTGCCTTAGCGGTTCTCCAGTGGCGGACTGAGTGTTTGATTGCAGCGCGCTCACTGCGCGTTCGCAAGTCATGCTTGTCGGATCATAGGCCAACGAGGAGACTGACAAATTCTGATGGCTGACCAGTTGCGGCTTTCGAACACCCGGGCATTCCAAGCCTACCGGAGGGCGGGGGCTGGGCAACTGCAGTCCGCGGCCCATACTTCTGCAACGCTCACGCCACTCAGTGTGCTCCTGCTCCCCGCTGCTCACGCCCATATCACCGGGAGACTGCTAGCTCGGCAGGTCCGAGGCTCTTCCCACCCGTCTCAGTCGTTGACACCTGTGATGGAGTTTCGAAGAGCACTATAATGGTAGGTTTAGCTGACGACTGGACGCTCGTTGTCAGGATGCCAATTACAGCCTGGTTACCGATCGGACCCTGGTTTCCTGCCACACCCTGGTTACCTATCAAAGTCTGGTTACGTATCACAGCCTGGTTTATCATGCTCATCTGGTTACGTATTATAGCCTGGTTACCCATCACAGCATAGTTAATTATCGTAGCCTGATTACCTATCACATCCTGGTTGCCTATCACACCCTGGCTTCTATCACAGCCTGGTTGCTCAGCACAGTATGGTTATCTATCACACTCTGATTACCTATCACAGCTGCGTGGAGTTGTCTGCTGTTTTCAATTCAACGGAAGCCTTGCTATACGAAATATATGCGAAAGATGTTTCGAGCAAAACAGGCGTTCCGTCCAAAACCTCCTGTATCTTTCATGACTGACGGACGTCATTGACTCAGACCAAAGGGAGATTCATGCCGGGACTGGTCTCTGAAGCGCTCCTGACTGTCAAGGAAGAGGATATGAAATTACATGGCCCTCTCCAAAGAGGGTCCTGTCTTTTTATGCTAAGCTAGGTGTTACGAGGACATCATGTCAGCAGCGTGGCAAAGCTCCAGCGCGCTCTCGCCGGCGGCGAGCCCCGCACCCCCGGCAGCGGCTGTGGCGGCGGCACTTCAGCGCGCGGGGCTGCGGGCGCCCCGCTCGGCAGGGGCGCGGAGGGGGGGGAGCACAGCGCCGATGGAGCACGCCCCTGTGACGGGGCGGCGGCATGACCCGCGCCAGGCTGCCGGGGAGGGGGGGCCGTGACGTCGGCGCTGGCCCCTCTCGCAGCCGGCGGCGAAGTCGGGGTCACGGGCTTCCCCGCCATGAGCGGCCCGGTTATGACGGTCCGAAACGGGAGCCGGGAGGCCGGGGAGACGGCGGCGAGGTCGGTCGCCTCTCCGCGGCGCTCTTGAACGACGCGGCGGAGTGCCGTCACACGGAGCCGACTCTGGTCCGGCGGCCGCGGCATGACCCGGCAACGCCGTGGTGAAGCCCGAGGACCAGTCTCTGAGGTCGGGAGGTCGATCCAGCCGCGCCTCTGACATGGGGGAGTCAGACGGGGTGCGCCTTAGCGTCGGGGTTTACCCAGCTACCTTGTTCGGTGTCAGAGAAGAGCTCACTTCGGTAGCTGGGGTAACTTCGGCTAGTTTTGGTGAAGCCCTTGACGATGGCAATGGGGCCTGGTCCAGCGTTCACTGTGATCATCAAAAGTAACTCTGAACCGGATGTGATTCACAGGTGTCGTGTTCAGCCATGAAGTGTCGTTTGCCCACACATCTCGACTGTGTGCTCTCCCAGGAACCACCTCTGCCCGATCGGCCGTGACCCAAGCTTTCCAGCGGTGGCGTCAGCCCTTGGGGACGCATTCGCAGTCGCGGAGATCCGTTTGACCCATAAGCACAGCCACCAATGGTCGGTTTCCCACGAGAAGAACAGGCCGGCAACCTGGCCTGGCCGTGATGGGGGAAGGGAGGGGATGGGTGGGATGGGATAAAAACCGGAAAGCAGCAGGAAATACATTGGGATGAACTGAGCTTCTATGAGATTGTAGGCTTCCAAGGTCTTGCACTGAATCCCGGCCGCTGTTGGCTGCTCACAACCCATGCACTGACAGGTCGGACAACGTATAAAGCTCGTCATGTTCGTTGCTAAAAATGCCAACAGGCTTAACTCCATGGGGCGTGGTGATAAGCGTCGAAAATTGCTTTGCTGGCTCCAAACGTAGAACGAACATCATGTTTATTCAGAGCCGTATTCTAATGACAAACCAGAGAACATCTGCCTGAACGAATGGGACAGAAGAGGTTTCTTTGGTCGCGGCAACACGAACAGAGGAGCTGCTACGCAGGTTAACCCAGACGTGCAAGTGTTCATCCAAGCAGTTGTTAAGTGCACATCAAGCCGTTTGGTTATCCTCGTCGCAGGGTTGAACGGCAGCGCGGCTTCCTAATCAACTTAAGCGTTCAGAACATAGATAACCCGAACCACTTACGCAGTCTTTTTGACATGTATGATGAAGTGTTAGTTGGATATAATTTATAGGGATGTTGACTAATTTTCGCTTAGACGTGGAACAAGATGGGATAAAGGCTTATGAGCGGTACCATGGGATAAAGGCTTATGAGCGGTACCATAAAATTGATTCGCGTTAAAAAAAAAACGTCCAGGAATACATGCGGCAAATTCCTCAGTCAATGTGTAGATAGGACTTAACACAAATATACATTCGTTCACGTACGGACGTGGCAACCCGATAAGTGAATGGCAAATGACTTTTTTCTAGATGGAAGCATCTTATTCCGAGGGGCTATAGCAACGTAACTAAACAGAAAGTGGCAGAACAGAAAACAGAAACAGAAAAACTAAAACAGAAATTGTGAGCGGCCTTCTAGGCCGTTGAGAGACCAGACTCCACGTCTGGCGTGGGTGGAAAATACCGATTGTATTTCAACTCCCGTTACAAGTGGTCGGCTCGAAAGTATAACTTCCGCCGACTTTACGACGAACATGCGTAGCATGGCAAATGTAGAGACGCAGGATATTGTAGGTCTTAGAACAGAAAAAGAACTCGTTGCTCGCATTTCTCGACGCGTTACTCGCAACTCGCATGGGCAACACCAACGGACGGCTCCACTTGCCGGATGTGCGGATGGTTACACGGGGTTTTTCTGTTAGCCCTCACAGGACTTACAAATCAGAAACTCCTATCCTTGGCATTTACGGACGGCTCTACAGGCCGGGATCCCGATGTTCACACGGTGTTGCTCTATACAACTTCCTGTCAAGAAGTGAGATTCCTTATCTATTACGTGATAAGACACGTTTACGACCGTTGTTACATTCCATCAGAAATGCGAAATGTTTACTTTTACCATCCCAAAGAAAGAAGACAAAGCACTGGTATGATCATCACGGCCTGTCAACCTACCAAATGCCGTCTTTAAAACATTGACCAAGACCTTTGCCAGGCTGTTAGCGAAACGATTGTCGGTCTTATCAACGGAGACCAGCCTAGTTTTATTTGACAGCGATGTTTTGGAGAAGCATTAGAACGGTGCCAGAGATGTTGAGAATCGCAGGTCGAGCCGGAACAACAGCATAAGACAGTAGTGCTAGCCTTATTCTTCCTCGATAGGGCGAACAGTACTGTCTTATCTAAATATGTAGTGCTCCTCGCAAATAAACTTAATAACTTACGCGATTTTGGAAATAAAAGGACTTCAGTTGGCATTTGGCTGGCGAAAAGGCATGCGACTTCGTTGGCTGGGGATATTCAAAAACAATATTATCGAAACATTGGTTTTTAGCACTACTATGCAGATGTGGATCAGTCTGATTTACCAAAATATTTCACTGTCCCACTAGCACAAGGCAGATGCAAATTAACGGAGCACTGTCAGAATTGTGCTCCATCACGCGAGACCTCAGGCAGGATGCCCGCCAAGCTGCAGGCTTTTCCTGCTACGCATGTAATTAATGCTACAACGAATCCGCGACGTCAGGATAAAACGATTTCCCTTCGGAGATACCGAGGTCGAAGCATTAGCATACGCCCACGCCCCTGAAAGTAATGGATAGCCAATAAGACTCGTTCGGGAATCAATAAGATCGTTATCACAGTTGCATGGTGTGTCTAGCTAAAAACTCAACACGCAGAACATTCGATTATTGGTCAAGTTGTGTTTTTCCGAAATGATTCTTTGGGTCGAGTGACTTCTTGGACCTACCTTCACTCACGATTTTTTGATCGATCGATTTTGCGGTCTTGCCTTTGTCTGATAAACCTGCAGAGACAGAAGACAAATCTGTACATATAATACTTGTACGATGTCTTGCTCGGGAGATGTCTGCTTCGAAAGGCATGACGGTGGTAAACAGCGTCTGACGCGCTCTATCACTATATAGGGGCTGGCCGGGCGCTACGGTGATAAACACGGCAAGAAATCATCGAGGATTTGGCATGTAGGTCCGAAATCTTGCTGCCGCGGCTTAAATAAGCTTAATAATAATCTTAATCTTCTTGATGCTGTTTTCAATGGAACTTTCTTTCAAGTACTTGCCGAAATGCACGTTTCATTACAGTAGAATAATAAGCGGTTCTAGCGGGTGATGAGTAGGATTGATCCTTGTCGCTATCCAGTAAGGCGTCGCCTCCGAGCCGCTAAGCTCAGTTCACAAGGGCGACACTTCCGGGTTTTTGTCTCCTCGGCGGCTGCTGCTGTCGCCCCAGCGACAGAGTGACAGAAGCGCTAGAGTGACAGCGGCTGCCGCCTGCAGGTGGCAGCCGGCAGGCGGCAGTCGCATATGGGCACACAGAATGACGTAGGAAGCCATTTGTCCAATGAAAGAGCAGTTGGGGTGGCACAGATGTCGCCATGGCGACTCCACCGAATGTTTGATTGAATGGAATGTTTCGTAT